TATAATTGTCCCTTTAGCAATAGAATTTGAGAGCTGAGGAAAAGAAGGCAAACCACACTAGGCTAATTAGACTGCATTAGTATGTACCATTGATAAATCGTCTCTTAGTTTGGTTTCTGTTGCTGTGGTAAATAGCACACGCCAAAGCAGCATGGGAAAGAAATGGGTTTAGTTGGCTCACAGGATACAGTCCATCACTGAGAAGCCAAAGCTTGGATATTCCAGGTAGGAGCCCACTGGGAGACAGGAACTGAAGCAGAGGCCACAAGGTGATGCGACTTACTGGCTTGCTTCCATTGCTAATATTCACCTGTCACTCTTCTACAGCCCAGGGTTGCCTGTCCAAGGACAGCACTGCCCACAGTGGGCTGAGCTCTCCTACATGTATTAGTAATTAAGGAAATGCTCCACAGACATTATCACAGGCTTGGAGGCAATTTCTCAATTGTGGTTCCCTCTTCTCAAGTGTTTTGACACCAAAATTAGCTATCACATTTGCCATTCAAAGATCTTTTTATGAAGTCTGGTTGTAGCCTTCCTGAATATTCTTGGAAGAGCAGTCTCTATCAGTAAAGGGGTTAGGGTTTCTTGGTATTGCATGCAAACTCTTTGTAGTAAAACACAGAAGGAACAAACACAAGGAAACTTCGAGATTAGTGGTTGTTGTCACTCCCACCTATAATCCCAGCAGTGAGGAAGTCAAGGCACGAGGATCAGGAGTTCAAGGCCAGTCTCTGCTGTACATCGAAGTGAGTCCACCTGAGCTGCATGAGCCTGTAATTTAAAAAAAAAAAATAGTGGTTCCAGAGATCGAGGAAGAGAATTTTAGTGTTACAGAATGTTTTGATTCATCAAATCTTGGTAGGAGAATAATTAATTATATTGGCTGTATGTTTAGAAGCGAATGTTGGAAAGATAGGTCAAGGTTACTACCAGAAGTTGAAAAATGATGCAGTATTTAATACAGTAATTTAAAATTTCATCCATTTATGTGTGTGTGTGTGTGTGTAATACATATGTGTATCTGTTTATCGAGACCCACGATGTCAGGTGTCTTTCTCAGTTGTTCTTCATCCAATTTTGGGGGAATGGTCTTTCACTTAACCTGCTTAGGGCTCAATATTATAGCTAGACAGGTTCACCAGCAAACTTGGGGATACACTTGTCTCCGTGTGTGCTTGGGTCACGGGTGTGTAGTGCCACACCTGTTTTTTTTTTCTCCCTCAAGCCTGCATATATCCATAGCAAGCACTATAGGGGGTGGTTCTGATGCTAAGGTCCTGTTCCCCAATTGCTTCTTGATTGATCAATAAAGATAGCAATGACCAATGACTGAAGACGGGGTGGGACACTTAGAGTTGCTTGGGAGGACACAGAGAGAATCAGGAAAACTGGGGAAGAGAAGGAGAAGTACTGACAGGAGATAAAGCCAACCGGACATGTGAGTTTTTGGTTGGAGTGGCGAACGGCCACGCTCTCCGATTATGTCTAGGGTGGCAGGGCAGGTTTAGGAGTGCCCAGTCATTGAGTTAGCAAAGGCACTTTAAAATTTACTGGTGTGTGTGCGTGTGTGTGTGTGTGTGTTGTTGTTGTTGTTGTTTATCCGTGGATCCAAGGGAATCTGGGCAAAGATGGTAGCATGGTCTATCCAGAGCTTAAATTGGGTTATCAAAAACTACTCGATAAAAAGCACTTTATTAATTGAGCATCTCCCAGCCCTGTGATAGAGTAATTCAATAAATTCTTTTTAGGTAACTAACTGGAAATCTGCCTTTTCTTTTCAGTTCCCTCCCTTTTTAGGTGTAACCTCAGGCGTGCTAGGTAAGCACTGTAGTATTGAGCACATGCTCCAAGTCTGCAGAGAATCAACTTTACATCTCTACTGTCGGGGAGTCTTCTGCTTTTAGTGTGTGTATCTACTGTGAACTTATTCATCCTTATAACTATAGCTACTCTTTACGATCTAATGGTCTCAAAAGCAATTTTAAATGAATCTAAAAATAAAGATCTCCCTTGTATTTCTAACTTACATGAACATAGACATGACTACAATTAAAAAAAGGAAAAAAAAATCCAGGATCTAGAGAAGTGGCTCAGTGGTTAAGGGTGCTTACTGCTCCCATAGAGGACACTGGTTCAATTCCAAGCACCCGCCTGGCAGCTCACAACTGTCTCTGACTCCACTTCCAGGGGATCTAATGCAATTCTCTGGCCTCCAATGGCTCTCATGTATGCTCTGTACAGACATGCTCACACATACACATTAGAACAAGTAAGTCAATAAATACATGTCCAGATTCTGGGGGTGCTGAGTATGAGACTTCCCGGTAGAACTCTTACCTAGCCTGTCTGTAAAGGATCTCTTAGATCAGTTCTCAGCTCTTCAACAAATGGACAGAAGTCAGAATCTAAACATATTGAAGAACCGATTGGGGTGAGGTGTGATTGTGCCTCTAATCCTCAAACTCAGGAGGCTGTAATAGGAGGACTCTGAGTTGAGGCCAGTTCAGGGTACAGCAAGACCCTATCTCAAAACTAAAACACAACACATTGAGATGAAACCTTTAAAGATTATTACCCAGTTCATGCACTTGGACATCAGCTATGCTTAGCTAATGTGAGGAAAAGGACTTTAAAGTACATACAGAACACAAGCAGTCACAGGTCTTAAATATCACTCACGTGTTTCCTCCCAGAGAGTTGACTCATTTGTAAACCGCATTTATTTTATATCTTTGTTTTGACATGGAAATTCTGGAACCACAGGAAAACCAATTCAAGAGCTAAGAAAGAGGGTTTGGGTTTTGATCTGTGGTAGAGCACTCGGCTAGCGTGCTGAAGGGCCTTTTTTTTTTTTCCCCCTGCATCACCAAAAAATTAAAAAATAAAATGAAGAACTAAGATAGTACTTTGAGCTGTCATGTGCTAAGTGGATCTGCTGGGATGGTACACCGGTTCCTGGTAGAGAAGGCTACTTCTGAGAGCCATTGCTTTAACACATCACCCTGCCCCGCCTCCATGGCATTCTGTTAATGAATGGCTAGGGGATTGCCATGGTGACGTTTTATGCATTTCCTTGCCCAGTAGTTCTTGAAACAGTGCAGACTAACTGTCTGGTGCTGCCAGTGCTGGAAAGAATGCAAACAAGGATGAAAAAGAAAAAAGACTTTACAAAATGGGTCTGATGTTTTTCTACAGCAGCTTCAGAACGTTCCTTTAATTTTGTGTGTGTGTGTGTGTGTGTGTGCACGTGCTCTGCTGTGGGCTTAAGGGCCTGTACGCCGAGCAAACTTGTACTGAGAAGTTACATTCCCCAGCCTGGTTCTAGTTTCACCTTAAGTAAATATCGTAATTGCTTGTTCTTTACTTAACTGTTTTTTTTCCCCTCTTCACTAAGGGATTGCATTTTCAGATATTTCAGAGACTAGAAAGGGAAAAGTCCATCTGTTTGTCCCTTGTAAACAGCAAGAAGCTCACCTAAATGTCAGAAGCACTTTCTAAATCATCTTCATTTTTTTTCTTCCAGACATGTTCAGTTTTTTGTCCTTGCTGGGACTCTAAGAAATAGTTAAAAGATGTCCTTGAGATGATTTCAGATAAACAATGTCATATAGAGTCCTGATTACACCATGCTTTTAGAATTAGAAAGATTAGACTTACATGACCCACTAATAGTTCTTCATAGAATATCTTCATGCGTCGTCTAAAGTATATTTGTTTGTTTGTTTGTTTATTATGTTAGTTGGACTTGCAGTGTTGTCAGAGTTGGCAGAACCCACCATCTTCCTGCCTTGTCTCCTGAGTATTGGAATTACTTGTATATACACAACCTCACTGGGCTTTCTGTGATACTCATAAGTATTTTCTTTGTGGTATTTTAGCATTTCCATTTTGGACCTTTTGCTATTCATTTGATTGGTTGATTGGTTGGTTGGTTGATTGGTTGATTGACATGGGTCTCACTATGTAGTCGTGGCTGTTCTGGAACTCACTGTGTAGACCAGGCTGGCCTCAATCTCATAGAGATCTAGTTATGTCTACGAGTGCTAAGATTAAAGGTGCGTGTTCCCAATCCCATTCCTGATTTCTCTCAGCTCTTTCTGTATCATCATCTTACTATTTCCTCGTGTTTGCCGTTGAAGTATTGTGTGGTATGGTAGACCGTGCCACCAGACAGAAGAACTTGTAAGGTTGTAGCAAGTTCAGAACCCTAGTAAATCTCATAATTGAGAATGGCAGGAGTTCATACAAACTCCAGACCAGGCTCCTGTCCTGGAGCACATAACCATGACACCCTTCTAAGAGGATCATGACAACTGGTCATGTAGCATAAAAGCCTAGTTCTCCATGCTAATGAGGTATTTAGATAGACCCTGAGTATTCTGCCAGTGAGTGTCTTCCTGGGCATCCCTTCTTGCAAAAGGTATTTAATCCCTGATTCATCCTGAGTAAGATGCAAGCATCGTCCTCCACCATGAATAAAACAGTTTGGACAAGCAAGGACTATCTCTTTTGTCTAGGACTGCCGCCACCAGGTGAGGCCTTCGTCATATAGAGCCATGACTGAGTCTCCGTAGAAAGCCCCTCCATACATTTGGCACTCACTCACTTGTGCCAAGGCTGATTCCTCCCCATCCCGGGCTCACTGACTCCAGTTCTCAATCCCAGCAGTGTCTGGGTGCTCAGGAGTTTGAGAGCCACAGCCTCTGTCCCACCCCTATCTGAGTTTTTCCCTCCCTTGAGCAGCCTGTTGGCAGCTCAGCACTCCAGCCAGCAATGAGGAAGAAATGCAGCCTAACACCCCTACATATCACTTCCTCTGAGTGTCACATCAGTAGCTCTCTGACACTCCAGTGTCGAGGCAGAAACTCAGAATAACAGTATTGTGTAGTGTGAATTGTGTGCTAGTAAGAATGGGGGTAAAGTGCATGTCTAACGAGCTCATGGCTGACCCCTTTCTTTCTGAATTCATGCTTTCTCAATGCACTCTTTAACTTCAGGATGAAGATGCTGGGATGAAAAGCAAAGTTCATCATATTGCCAAGGAGATCATGAGCTCCGAGAAAGTGTAGGTATCAAATTATCAGTTCAGAAGACTGTTCTTCCCCAGTTGGCCTATTAAAAAACAATGCTTTTTTTGTTTGTTTGTTTTACAGGTTTGTGGATGTGTTAAAGCTTTTGCATATTGTAAGTATCTGTTAATATTTTTCTCAAATCTAAGATTATTCCTGGTCCTGCTCTTTTCTTACCCCAAAGGTTCTTAGCACAGCTAATAAGTGAACGATACACACATGCTCTCTAGTGCTTGGTCATATTTTAAATTTGCAAAAAAAATACATACTTATAAATTAGATATGTATGTCTAAATTATCTATATGTATATATAAAATAGACAATTTCCAAAATGTCTGTATCCCATTTATACCCAGATATACCTAGATGATTTCTTGTCTTCAGCACTTTGCATTTCTTCATAATGATGAGCTGTGACGGTTGTTGCTATTGCTTCTGCTCCTTCTCCTCCTCCTCTTCCTTCCCCTCCCCCCACCAAACTACATCCTCAACACTCACAATGATGATGTATCTTTTAGAGCATTTCTTCTCTAATCCTAATAGCACCCAGAAACAGAGACACTTGAGACAGGCATTTTTATAGCTAACTTATATATATATATATATATTCGTCAACTTGAGCAGACCTGTTAGGAAACAACTATATATATCTGAGCACATACTCATTTTTCCTCTTGCATATTTTTGTCCTTGCAAGTTTTTACAAGATTCCATGTACACTGGCAGTCAAAGTCTTTGAATGTTATTTTGATTTGATGATATTTTGGCAAGATATCCCAAATACCCCGAACATCCCACACATGTGTGCTCAAGTCCACTTGAAAACTTCCCTTGAAAATTAGATTGTCTGTCTGTCTGTCTGTCTGTCTGTCTGTCTGTCTGTCTGTCTATCTATCTATCTCTGTGTCTCTCTTCCCCCTGTAGCCCTCTAGTTTTCTCTTTCTCTTACTCTTTTACCCTTTTTTTTTTTTACCATCTCTGTCTTTATCCCTGTTTCTTTTTTGAAACAGTCTCACTTCAACCCATCTTTGACTCAAAGGTGTAGTGATCCTCCGCCTCAGCCTCCAGAGTCCCAGTTACAGTTTTGAGCCACCAGACTAGACAGCAATCTGATAAGATATTCTAGTCTCATTCTGTTGTGATAAAACACTGGGACCAAAAGCAAAGTTCCGGGAAGGAAAGGGTTTCTTACCTCACACTTCCAGTTTAAAATCTCTGTTGAGGGAAGTCAGAGCAAGAACTGCAAGCGGGACCCATGGAGGAACATAGTTTACTTGCTCATTGTTTAGCTCATTCTCAGCTAGCTTTCTTATAAGTCCACACTCACCTGCCTAGGGATGGTGCTGCCCACAGTGGGCTGTGCTGTCCTCAGTCAATCATCAGTCAAGACAGTCTCTCATGGACATTGTCATAAGCCAACTGGTCTGGCAGTTCCTTAGTTAAGGTTTCTTCTTCTTCACAGGTGATTCTAGATTCTACCAAATTGAAAACAAAAACTAACCAACACTAAACCTAGAAAGCTAAAACCAAGGCTACCCGGACATAAAGATGTTGCTGTAGTTGATTAATCCTCTCTACCTCCCCAGCAGCAGCTGTGTGACTTCCTCGCTAGCTGCCCAATGCTCTGGATCCTCGAATGAAAGGTGCACACACATGCAGCCTTCTATTTTAACATGCCTTAAATAGTGCAATGTCTGAGCCACTCCAAACATTCATGTTACTAACACCCCCCACCATGCTCCTGAGTTATTACTTATTGAAATCTGTATTCTGTCTTTGCTACCCTAGACCCAGTTTGGGGCTAGCTAGGGCTGCTGCTCCCTGCTCTTGCATGACTGGTATTCTGTCTTCTGCTGTTCTCAAGTTTGCATCTTATTACTTCCCTGGCAATGGCAATTCTCTTCCTTCTTCCCTGGGTTCCCTTGCCTGGGAGATCTAAAAGTCCCGCCTCTGCCTCTCTGCCCAGCCATTGGTAACTTTATTTACCAATCATAGCTAACTGGGGACAGGGACCCTCAGTGTCTTATACTCAGATGTGTGGGTCCCCACTTTTGGGAGCTGAATTAACACAAGTAGTATTATAACCAATCTATAACCTTTCACCCTTTTCGTTCATTAAAAAGGCCTTATCTCTCAGATACACAGTGAGCATAGTTACCACAGTTATGTAAGCTATAAGGTATGATATACTCTAATAACATCCAGTCCATCAATTTTGTCAATTTAGATACATTACTCTAACTCTGTCCTAACTTAAAGAGGAGTCTACAATCCTATATCTGAATTGTTTTGATTTTTACTTGCATTACCATCTGAAACCTATCCATTCAAATCTAGATCATCTTCCTTAATGCTAAACAACTTAAGTTTGATTTTGAGGCTATAACTAGTCTTCAACCCTGTCAGAGATCCAAGAACGAATTAAATGTTACCCAAATGTGTAGGAAGCACCAAAGCATAGCTTCCAAAACTTAGCCAATTTGCAGAGACAGCTGACTACCTGGATAGCCTCCTAGTCCTCAAAACATTGGAGCGTCTGCCTTCAGGCTTCTGGGCCAGAACCATCTGACAGACCTTAAGTAAAGCAGGAACTACAAAGGACTAGCTTACTCTGTCTTGGCAGAGCTAAGCTGTAGACGTTCCCTCCATCTTGTACCCTTTCTTGCACAGTGTCTTTTGTCTGAAGATGAATTAGGGAACTTCTTGCCCAATGGCTACCTTGCCTCTATCGGAGCAACTCCATGTGGAGGTTTTGATGCTCAGTATCTTCCTTGACCCATGAAGAAGGTACTGTCAGGAGCAGACCTGTCTCCTAGTCAGAATTTCTATTAATAATGAAAGAGATCTTAATACCAAATAGAAAGTTATTTTTCTACATGCAATAAAATATGAACACATCTCCACACTTCTTGTGTTTTTCACACCTTAAATTTGTCATTGTGTCCCAAGTCCACCCTTGTCTTGTGAGGTATGTGGACTTTCAAATGATCGTGGGGCTAGCTAGGGCTGCTGTTCCCTCTAGCTCCTGTTAACTTGGCTGCCACCTTCTTTTTTGAGCACCTCCATTCATATTAAGACTTCTGGCCAGCCGGTGGTGGTGCACACCTTTAATCCCAGCACTTGGGAGACAGAAGCAGGCAGATTTCTAAGTTTGAGGCCAGCCTGGTCTTCAGGACAGCCAGGACTACACAGAGAAACCCTGTCTCGAAAAAAAAAAAAAAAAAAAGACTTCTGGATAAAATTCATTATTATGGCACATCTTTCCTGCTCCTATCTCCCCTGCCTTGGTTTGGCATCTCCTCCTCTAAGTGGCTCTGTTTCAGGTCTTTACTTCTTCGTTTCCAGAGACTTGTGGGTGCCAAATATTTTTTGAATAAATGACCTTCTAATGAGCATTCTTTATATACCTTTTAATATATTATATTATTATAGTATACAAATTATTTATCTTTAGCCTCACAACATCTGTAAGAATATTTTTCCCCTTTGTTTATTTTAAACAAAGAAAGTAACCTGTTTAAAAAAAATGCTACTAAATGTCAAAGCTGGACTTTGAAGTCTGGTCTATGTGAGTTTTTGGTGTACAATGTAAAATGTTTGCTTGCACCCCTAACCATTGCTATGTATAGTGTATCTGTAGGATGTAGTGTGTCCCTGGCATATTTGTTGCTTACAGAAGTCTTTTCAGCTGCCTAGGAAACCAGAGAAACTCTTGTTTTTCATCTTCTAAAGATGAAAATGAAGCTGGATTTTTTTCTTAGATTTCTTTTGAACATGATGTATTAATGTTACTAAAGAGGGTTGAGAACATGGTGTAAACACTTGGTTTCTGTACTGTTTTGCATCGAATGCACTGACGATTATACACAGCTGGTCTTTGGGTACAGAATAAGAAGGATCATTTCACCTGGAAAAATACTTTCACTTTAAAAACAAAGTCAGCAAAGCACACCGTTAGACCCCTGCAAGCCCTGCAGTTGGGGGGTTGGGGGCTGAGGCACAAAGATCACAAGTTTAGGCCCATCCTGGGTCCTATAACAAGACTTTGCCAGAACAAACAAGACCAAACCAAAGTTAAATTATTGAGATGGGGACTCTCCCTTTTACTTCCCAGTCTTTTATTTTTGCATATCTATAACACATCTTTGAGCACTGCAGCTGCTTTGCTTTGGTTTTCTGTAAGTGATTTTTACTCACTGAGAGCTCCTGTCTCTCCCTGTGTCCATGTGGGCTTTGTAATTCATGGGCTCCTGAGAGTAGTTAAACAATGGCTGGAGGTCAAGCCCTCCTCTTGGGACAGCTGGTAATTAAGTCACACACTCCTCTCTGGTTCTGTAGATAGACAGCCTGACTCTATAGGCAAGGCCATCTGTTCTCTGCTTCAGTGCCTCAGATGTTCAGACTTGATCCTGTTCGCACTGATGATTTTGCTAGGGTCTTCCCCAACTGATCAGAGTAGGCAGGGTGAGTATGTTGAGGGTGAGCATGGTAAAGAGTTGAGGTTCTGCATCTTAGTTATGGGCTACTGGGGGGAATTGTTAAGACTAATACTGTAATACGCTTTGTTATTTAGAGGTCCCTTTCAGTCTTTAAAAATTCCAACTTGAACAAGCATTTAGTGAATGTAATCATAGGTTATTTGACTTTGCATACAGAAACTTTGGTTGGTTTTTGTTAGAATTAGTGTTCTGTCTAGTTGATGTCAAGAATATCTACAATGTGCGTAATATTTTCCACCTTTCCTCCTCCTTTATTTTAATTATTGCAGTTTCTTTGTCTCTCCACTCCACTCTCCTTTCCAGTGCTGGTTTTCAAACAGAAGGGCCTCACCCAGCCTAGGCTGGTGCTCTTCCACTAGGCCACACTGCCAGGCTGGTTACCAGCTTCCCTGGAGTGCAGAAGTAAGCTCTGGGCCTCTTTGCTCACCTGCATCTGCACTGTTGTAGTGGAGGGAGTTTTGGTGAATTTAGATGCTTCTGCCCCAAATAGTTTTGTTGCTCTTAAAATGTGTTTCTTAAAGATTGTCACACTTTCCCAAATTATCCTGGCTGTTAGGATTTTAAAAGAATTACATGTTGTAGTCATCTTTTTTTTTTTATTATAAAAACCAAAAA